GGAATTAATATACAATACTAAAAATATGTATATGGTTTCAAAAGAAGCAGTTAAAGATCAGAGTAGCAAAAAAGACAAAAGATATAAGCCAATCAAATAAAAGGATGACAGGCATTGACACAGCAAAGACCGTGGTGTGGAAAGAACAAGGCTTCAAGCAATGGGAAAAGTTCAGAGATCAAAGAGCTTGTTTCTTTTTGGGTAACAAAAGCAGCAGGACCTTCTCCCTGGTCTGTAGGGTATCTTCCAAGAACCCAGATTTGGTTCTCTAAAACAGATCTGAACAAAGGGTATGCAAAACACAATTACTCTATGCAGGTCGTCAAACTTAATACTGCCTGGTTCACGGATTGAGAGAGAAGGGGACATGTGGCTTTCTTATTTTCATTGCTGTACTTATTATACATATTCAATAAAATCACTGACCATATATTTATCAAAATAGTCTCCATCAGAGTGGGCATGCACTAAACTCAAAGATCGTTTCTTGCTTAGGGATAATGAACATATCGAAAGCATCACTAATCAAAATATTTCAGCACTGTCCTCATGCTCAAGTCAAAATCAAGAACAATAGTAGTTTGCTCTGACAGTTCAGGATACAAAACCCAGTAATTTTTATGTCATCTTGGGCAGACTGATGTAATTAAGAAATATTGCATCTGTGTCAATGACAGAGGACATATTCTTCCCTAAAAAAGGCTTCTGTCATTCTCTTACCTTTTTCAGAATGATAGAAGATTACTTTTGTTTCAGTAATGTCAATCTCCCTCTTGTATTAAACATAAACTACTAACCTACCCATGTCATTTATACCACAGATGAGAAGTCCAGATAAGTGTGTTGAAGATATTTAGCATAAAAGGTGTGTACTTATTTGCTGAAATTGGAGTCTTTGAAGTATCACTAATATTCTGGGTAGGAGAAAGTGGCATGAGTTTTACCTGCCCAGGTTTTTGTGGACATTGGCAGTTACTTGCTCTATCCTATCTCTGATGACACTGCAAAATAGCAGTGTCAATATCATTGTCAGCCACACAGAGATCTTTTTTTCGTGGTGACACAGGATGTCTCAGGGCAGTCCTGGTCACTACATACTGCTGACAGAGTTGATAAAGGTGCCCTCCAAGAGGTTCAAACCATAATCTCTCCATAGCATTCTCTACCATTATCCACTTCATCCTTGAAATTCTTTTTTCCCCTGATTTTCATAATATTATATGATTCTATCTCTGAACACTCCTTTTCAAATTTCCTCTTACTTTGACTGACCTTTCCATTTGTGCCCTAAAACCACTTTCCTTCTCATTATATTCATTTCATCCTGGGAGTTGGAGTCATTATCATCAACATCTTATAGGCTACTGACTTTCAAATCTCTGCCTTCCACTCCAGAATGCTTCCCTAAATTCCAGACTCATGTAACTACTTGGTGTCCTAGAAGAACATTATATTCAAATGTTCAACTATGAGCTCACCCTTTCTAAATTTCTAACTTCTGATACGTGTTCCATCAATCGTCCAAACCAAAACCTTTGTTCTGACCTCTTTAAATTTCACGTTCCATCAGTAACCAAGTCCTATTGATCCCTGCTACTTACAACTTTCTTGTGCTGAATCTCTCCACCTACCTTTTTATTTACTAGTGCTTTAGCGCAGGTCCTCATCATCCCGTCTGTGTTAGTGCAGTAGTTTTGCTGGTCTCTTAGCTCTGTACCTCCCTTGGCTTTACCCCAGTCTGTGTTGCTAGCAGAGTGAAGTTGTTGATGTTGCTTACTCTTCTGCTTAAAAAGTTGGATTGATTTCCTGAGATTTACAAGAGAAAAAATTCAAAATAACTAGAATAACGTACAAGGGCCTCTAGACCTAGACCATTGCCCATCTCTATGGGTTGTATTTCTTGAGTTCTCTTTCTTGCCTTTGTTCCTGTGCTGTAAGGCACGACTTTGGTCTGAGTAACAGTGCTCTTCTGACCTTCATGTCTTTGTTCGTGCTGCTTTCTTCTACTTTGGGGCAGGTGTTTACCTACCAGCGTTTCAAGCTCTGCTCAGCATCACCACGTCACTTTCCTTTCCACGTTATCAAGCTGACTGTTCTAGGTGACGCCCCGTATGTTTACTTATTTTCTAAAAGCACCACCAATTTGTTATGTTTATTCTTTTCTATCTAATGGACACAACCAACCCTCTTTGGGGCAGGAACCACGTCTCATTCACTACGTGTGTGTGCGTATCTATCACCTTCAGCATTTAGTATTTCTTCTCCTAAGGAACATTCGAATTCTACTTTTTTTTTTTTTTAACTGTTCTACTCTTTATTATAAAGTATACCCCAACTTAATGTTAACTATAGTCACCTTGTTGTGTTGTCAGATATTGTTCAGTCTATCTGCCTATATTTTTACAAATATTAAGCATCCCCCCTTTATAACCCTCCTCCTCACTACCCTTCCCAGCATCTGTCTCCAGGAGATCAATTGATTTTAATATTTAGCTTCCATACATGAGAACATGTGAGATTTCTATTTCTATGCTTCTTCGTATTTTAAAATCTCATCGTTTAGCAGAGAGCTGTGTAGAAGTTCAGTAAATTTTTGCTGCATGAATAGCTGATTTGTGTGTGGTTTTATAATGTAGAGTAACTTATATTAGTTTCCTCTTCCTACTCCTTAAGAATTTTAGGATATTTTACAACATTATGGATCATATTATCATAAGTTCTTATCCTATAATCTTTTTAGAGTCCCATTAACAAGAAAAGTTATTGATTATATTTTATATTACAGCTGATAAAATGTAGGCGTATACATTTAATATGAATTTATGTAATTTAAATTATGATCCTCTAACTTATCTTATGCACATACCAAGAGAAAAAATGCTTTCTAGGCTTTCACTCCTTTTCCCCCTTTATGAAATTGCTTACCTGGTCTCTCTCTCTTTTTTTTTTTTTTTTGTAGAGACAGAATCCCACTTTGTTACCCTTGGTAGAGTGCTGTAGCATCACAGCTCACAGCAACCTCCAGCTCTTGAGCTTAGGTGATTGTCTTGCCTCAGCCTCCCGAGTACCTGGGACTATAGGTGCCCAGCACAATGCCCAGCTATTTTTGTTGCTGTTGCAGTTTGGCTGGGGCCGGGTTTGAACCTGCCACCCTCCGTATATGGGGCTGGCACCCTACCCACTGAGCCACAGTGCTGCCCTGCCTAGTCTCTTGACATAGAACAAGGTATCAGTTATAGGTTGGCAAGAGTCATTGCCCTACTGGTTAACATATTCTGGTCTATTGAGTTGAAGATACATATCTCTATGCTTGTGTATGAATATTCACTTGGGCACACACAGCACACATGTACATATACACCCCACCCCAGAAACAAACAATAGATTGAGGAACTTTTAAATTTTCAGATGCATGTCTTTAAAATCAGTAATTATGCAAATAGAGACTATCATTGGAAAGATCAACTACCCCTCTCCATCCTTCCAAGTGGAAAGAGTCTACAGACTTAACATATGGAACATATTCAAGTGTCTCACAACCCTTACGACATTCTTGCAAACATATAACTTTTCTTCTTGTTACCTAGCACACCATCGCCATCTTACTACAGAAGAAAACTGCCCACACGGCCCATCCCACACACCTACAATCTGGTAGGTCCAAGGTCAACTTGCTCTTCCCCAGGCTCTAGAACCTCACCTAAGATAACTTCTCTTTAGGGATTATTTTCCATTTTTTTAATTTAAAAAATTAATAATTTGGGATACACAATGCTTGCATATCTTTACAATATATCCTTTAAAAGTAACTAAAATAGTGGTATTGGAATGTTCTTTTAAAAAAAGAAAAAAAAAGACATGAAAGAAAGAAAAGACATGTGCCTGCGGGGATTGATGCCCCAATAACCTGCTTTGTATTTTCCCGTCTGTAATGCTTTTGTAGACCACTTCAAATTGTTTTGTTTAAGTGCTTGGATTAAGAAAAGAAACTAGAACAAAATTCCTGGCTACTCCTGACTAGCTCAGGAAGCTCATGGATTGCTGTCTGCAGCATTCGTCCTTAGGCCTCCAAGTATCCCACTTGGCTTGGTCGCCTCTCCCCTTGCAAGCCTTCTGTTCTTTCAGAAACTGGATGACAGGAAAGACACAAAGGTTTCACTTTGAAGCATACTTTTACCACTTCAGTGTAGACAAGGCTAAATTCCAGGCCACGAGACTTTTCTCTGCTTTTTGAACGGGTATCTCTGATTCTCACTGGCCCGCAAACACGAGTATAGACTGTCTATGAAAATAATTCAATCAGGTAGACGTATTTTGACAAGAATATTTATTTGTTTTTATTGAAAAATACACAAAAGCGAAAGGTTGCTTAGCTGCTGATTTTCCATAGTAAAACAGGGCATGGTAAGAAAGGGGGAAACATATCCGTCATATATGGCAGTTTACATTTCTAAGGCATCGAGGCTGAAGAGCAGCGGCCCGGCGAGCCTAGGTACATTGCCTTGAGTTTAAACACCAGGCACACCAGGCAGGCAAAGGGTCTGGACTGTGCAGTAAAACTCTTCTCATGCATTGTGTTTGGGGATTTTACTCCCTCTGCCTCCATCATTTGTTTCCATCCACATGAGTTTTGTTCATAGAACACTGGTAAGGGTCTACTCTTCAAGAGTCTGTTTACAATAACACCACCCATGGGACACACGGAGCAGAACGACTTCCTGGACAGGTTCAGTCTCTTACCAAAACGAGGCTTCAGTAAGAAAAACACTGATTTTCGAAGGCACAGTGGAGATAGGTTTAATGCATTAAATATAACATGAATCATTCACAATAACAAGTTTAGTGTTTCAGGGAACTTTTGTTAATACAACACAGTTGGTCACACAAAATACAAATGCTTCTGTTGATTTGTCTTGGCAACTCAGATACATCAACAGTGCTAACAGTTTAACAGCTTTGTTCTCATCTGACAGAAAATAATGGCAGTTCTGCAAGGCAAATGTTAAACCTGACCGTATGTATTTATTAATTCCACAGTGTTTTGACAGATTATAGGAGACGGAACTCAGAGGATGCTGACACGCTCACTGAGGGCTCTCATCTCGGTTTCTTCGGTCTCAGGACTGTCGCTGTGGCGGGCACTTGGATTGATCAGGTGCGCCGGGTACTGCAGCCCCTGCTCGCCTGCGTACTGCTCCCACCTCAAGTCATCGCTCTCATGGGTGATGTAGCGTTCCCCGATTTTGCATTCCAGCTCTCTTAAATCTAACCACGTCTGATAGTCCTGAAGGAGGAAATTCCGAACTATTACCATAGAGATCACTACCACTCATATGTTGTCTGTGAGTCACCCTTTCTCCTTCTGCTCCAACAGTGCTGCGCCGTTCATCACATATCCTCAAGTGACAGCGTCAGCGCCAAAGCCATCCTGCCTGCCTAACCTTTGCAAACACACACTGTTTACACGATTCCGTGGATCAAAGTGTGGGCAATTAATGCTTGCAGTCAAGCAATTAGAAACGTTGGCATTCCTTTGAAATTCAATGCCTACAATCTTTCAGCATTTCAGAGTATTATTTTTCTAAAGTTTAAATTTAATGTGAAAATAATATTCAAGAGAACACAAGCACACACACACATTTTATTCAACCCAGGCAGTTGTCCCAGACATAATAGCCTCGGATCTCAAAATGCAGCTTCCGAATGAATACAGCGCATGAGCAGGTGGGCATCTATTTGAACATTTATCTGAATTATACATACAGATACTTTTAAAATATGGTTTTCTGAGTTCTGTTATGATTCTTGGCTTCTTTGCTTATGTTTGGTATTGTTTTTTGGTTCTATTATATGTGTGTGTGTCTCTTCCCTGTCAAATCTTCCTGGTAGAGAGGTTTTAGAAACACTAAACTGTTATTAAATGCCAAGAAGTTGCATGCATTATGGCAAATTGATATTAGAATGATTATGCTTTTAAAAATATGACAAAAGATTTCTACATATAATATCAACTTTCTAAAAATATTTAAAAGCTTATCCAACCAACAAAAAAGAAAAGATTTTTACCTGTAACCAAGGGTGACTCAAGGTCTTGTCAACGCTATACCGCTTTCTCATTTTCACTTGCAGCAAATTGTTGATAAGATCAATGGCTAAAACAAATTTTAAATATTAGTAAAATCAGAGGACAAATCTGCAATGTATGCATAATTCACTTGCAGTTTATTTCACACAGTTAAATGCAGCAAAGTGACAAGGTAGCGGAACTGCAAAAAAATTCTTTTGTGAATTCTACAACCTTAGCTTTCACTTTATTTCAGATGATAATTAAAGTAGTTGGGCAGGAATAAGTATTTGAGTCTATTGTGAGTATGATGTAGTCTACTCTTCAATAAATTTTGTTAGCTTAAGAATTTTATTGATATATACATCATTTATATATACCCTAAACTAATGGTAGGATAAAACTAATACTCAAGAGAAAGGATTTACTCATTTTGTTACAATATGTGTTTAATGTTTGAATGCACATAATGGAATTCATAGGATTGAATTAAGTAATAGACATCTTGGCATCATATTTATACGGAAAAATATAGTATAATATGGGTCATATTTTCTTGGAGCCTAACAGCCAATGGACCAAGGGGAAAACACTTTTACCTCTCACTTTGCTTTTGCTTTCAAAAATAACCAATGGATTATTATAGCAGGGTTCATTGACTTCCCAGGGGAAGACAGGAAAGAAATCTGCCTACTGAGAATTGTTCTCTGAGGGGTTAGAATCACCGTCTATCCAGCCTTGTACTATACACCTGACTGGGGCTCCTATGAGATTAGTGTAGGAAGAAAATGTGATCTTTTAGTTACCTTGACTGCAAATCATTTTAGTACCCACAGTACTGTGTGATGGAGTTCTCACTCTTTTTCTGAAAATTATGTATTCAATGTACATCACTAAAAGTTTATTATTTCTTAAGGTCATTACCTTACACTTCCCACTCATTCTTGTACTAACTTCCATATTTCTATTTTTGTTTTAGCATTTCTCTCCACCAAAAGGGCTTAAATCTGCCAACCTCACGGAAACATTTGCATTTCAGAGAGATAATTCTCATCTTTAACTTTCCTTGGGTACTATGCCTGAGAGATGGCTCTTTTTATCAAAAGTCTGATCAAAAAAAGGGAATTTCACACTACACCTTTTCCGACCACCATGTCCTGAAGGCAGCTGTCCCTCCCTTGTTGGGTCTGCATCAACCTCTATGACCTGAAGATGCAGACTACCCACGGGAGTCCAGAGTGCAGAGTCTAATCTATCCCCTCATTCAGAAAATACCAGAATCTTTCTCATCATCAAGCAAAGAGAAGCTAGTTCTACACTCTTTGGGAACTGAAAATTGTATATCCCTGGTGCTACTATTCCCAGTATTTCCTTGCACCAAAGGGCTATAGACTCGAACAATGAAGAATTCTTTGACTGGAGAAATTAAATGCAGCAGCACTCAGTGAAATGCTGCATGTGCACACACTCTTGCCTTAGCTAGTGTACGTGAGGAAACACGGGACTTAGTACAATTTCAAATTCCAAGCATGTGTTCTCAGAGAGCTCTTGAAAGTGCAGCTATCTCAGTGAACTGGGCATTGAGCACGTGCTTTAAAATCTCCATTCACATGCTTTACTCACTGGTGAGTAAAGTGCACCATCCACACCTGCCACTGTGAAGTCACACGGCAAAAATGGAGGATGAGGAGCGAAGGGAGAGCTTACGTGCTTCTATGAGCACGCTGCAGCATTATGCTCCCCCAGACGCTGCAGGGAATAAATACGGGTTATTCATTCACTCATTCTGCCTGGAATTCTATAATTAGGATGGTAGAAGTATAGCAACTCGACAAAAGGTCTGCTGTGTGCCCAAATGGGCCCCCACCGTGAACCACATGGCCTATGGGGGAGGCACGTGCTGCCACAGGGGAAACTAGATGGCCTGAAGGGAATGGACTATCTGAAGATGAAAAAAATTGTTCTCCTGCGTGATGCGCACAATCACAAGTCTGGTGAGGCCACACTGCTCAAGCAACCTGAATAAGCACAGCCAGATGAAAACAAGGACCTCCGAAAGAATGCAGTTTAGGATATAAGACAGGATTAGAGGGGATATGCGTGCATGTGTATATGAGAGAGAGAGAAAGTATGTGTGTGTGTGTGTGTGTGTGTCTGCACGTGTATAAATATGTTTTGTGACTCTTGGCAGCAGAAATGATTAGCTATTAATTGTTGGACACTGTACGTGTATTTAAACACTGGGGCCATGATGCTACTGAGCAAACAGGTCTACCATTAGTTCTTGGGAGCTCCATTCCACGTCACTTTTCTGGAACTCTTCAAACAGCCTCTTTTTATTAACTGAATTGCATACAATCCATGCCTTGGATGGTATAGTCACAAAAGCCATTTTTTAAAGAGATTCAAAAGGGTTTTTTTTCCCCAACATTCTCTTTAATAACCATGTCTAAAATTGCTACAATACACATATGAGAAAGTTTCCTCACACGTATCCTGTATGTGTTAATCATTCGTCCAGCCATTCATTAGTCAAATCTTCCCTAAGTAATTACTATTGGCGGTTATTCAGGGAACAAAAAGTTAATGGTAAGACCCTGGTCCTGAAGAGCTCCCATTTAGTTGCAAAGGTAAAACACACTCCGTGACAACAGAAGGCACCACTTCAAAACTTTGACTTCTGATTATTAGTAATATTCTATTCAAAGAAAAATGTGTTTTCTTTTTCTGATTTACTGTCACTGGTCCTATTGATGTTCTGGATGCAACGGAGAACTTGACTCTGTTCTACACACAGTTCCTTTCCCCTCAGAGACAGTGATTCCCCCTAACCTAGGGTGACCAGATTTTAACATCGGTAAGGCGGGACAACATGGCGGGGGACCCAGCAGGGCAGGGCCTGACAACAATGCAAACTTTGGGCTTGGCGCCTGTGGCTCAAGCGGCTAAGGCGCCAGCCACATACACCTAAGGTGGCGGGTTCGAATCCCCAGCCTGGGCCCGCCAAACAACAATGATGGCTGCAACCAAAAAATGGCCAGGCGTTGTGGCAGGCGCCTGTAGTCCCAGCTACTTGGGAGGCTGAGGCAGGAGACTCGCTTGAGCCCAGGAGTTGGAGGTTGCTGTGAGCGTGATGCCATGGCACTCTACCCAGGGGGATAGCTTGAGGCTCTGTCTCAAAACAAACAAACAAACAAACAAAAAAAATGCAAACCTTGATAAGCAGTTCTCGATAATCACTTCTCAGCAATTATTTGTTATTATTACAGTTTAACATTATAAAATTAACAAAAATAATATTAAACTCATATTCTGGCAAAATAGCCACATGGCAGCCGAAAACTGTATATTCTCTTCTTGTTCTCCTGTCCGTTCTTGCGTTCTTTTCGGGACTTTTTTTAAAACGCCACGGGATGCGGGACAAATTGTTGAGAAGCAGGACTGTCCCAAAAGTGGGACGTCTGGTCACCCTGCCCTAACCTCACCTTCTACAGACCCTTCCGTTGTCTTTCAGACTCCTCCGGCTTCCTAAGTACCTTGATTTTCATGTTCACTAATGTTTTCTTGATGTCCCTGTCAGAATTCAATGGTTACTATTGACCAGACTCTTCCTCATTATTAACTAACAATTTGGTTTATACACACAGATATTATTCTTACAGCCTGGAACTGGGGTGTTTTCATTCTTTTTAAAAAATTTTACATTCACATTCTTCGTGTGTCCTTAAAATAACCCTATGAAAGTCATTCTTTATTTTATTTTATTTTATTTTATTTTATTTTATTTTATTTTATTTTTGTTGTTGTTGCAGTTTGGCTGGCGCCCTACCCACTGAGCCACAGGCATCACCCTGAAAGTCATTCTTTTAATCCCTATTTTATTGAAAGGGAAAACCTGAAGCTTCAGATGGCCATGTAACTTGGTCAAAGTTAGATGGCTCCTAAGCTAGAGAGCTAAGGTTGAAACCCGGGGGACCAGGTTTCAGAGCCTGTGCTCTTTAACACCCTGGCACATGGCCACAGGATGCCACCAACTCCTATTATCAGCTGACAAGAATGTGAGTAATTAACTAATTTTGACATTTTTCGAGCCATGAGCATCAAGTTCTTCTTATTAATGTTTCCATAATACTTTCACGTATTTGAATACAAAGGGGTGTGTGTGTGTATCTTTGTGATCGCAACTTCCCATGTCAGCATTGGAAACTATTATGAATGTGATATGATTCTCTCCTACCAGACGTGTTAATTCTTCTAGACTTCTGCCATGTCCACACTGAATATTCCCATTTGCTATGTACTAATTGAATTATTAGAACTTTTTTTAAGGACAATGCTTAAATGCAGGGCTTGCTGACTCTTAAAGATTACATTCCCAATTGCCAGGCCTATTAATTATTCTTTTAAGCAAACCTTATTACAAACAAGTAATGCTTCCTCCCAGGAATATTTCCAACCAGTCCATATTGCAACATCTTCTCCAAAAATTATTTTAGGAGACTTTCTTTCAAATGCTTTATGAAGATACATCAGTCCTCGGTATTATCCTTTGTTCTCCAACCAATTTGACAATTGTACTTAAAAACAAAGTTCAGTTACTCTGGAATAATGAATTTTAAGTAAACTAATATTAACCAATATAATAGCTCTAAGAGCACATCAGTGAACTTTTGCAATAACATCCAGATCGGATATACCTATAGCTTCTAGCTGCCACTGCGTGCCCTCTTGTGCTTCTGTGTCCCCCAGGGGCTAGCTCCCAGCAGACCAGCTATACTGGCCATGCCTAATTCACCAAATGCAAAGGATACCAGACAAGGGGATAGGGAAGCCAGTTGCAAAGGAGCCATAAGCATAGCAAAACGGGAGCAGCCACAGCAGTCCCAGAAGAGAGCCAGCAACCAGGAGAAAAGTCCAAACGGGGTCTTAGCTAGTTCCAAAACTAAAATCAGAATTCACAATTCTGAACTCAGGAGAATATGGTAGGGCATCCCTTGGGAACTGTGGAGGAGTGACAGTGGGGAGGCAGATACAAAATTGAGCCATTCTGGTCCTCTTAAAAACAAAGCAAAAGAAAAAGGGATCATG